TGCCGAGCAGCTGAAGTGCAGTCACGTGACCATGTGGGTTGTGTGTGACTGTTGGAACTCTGGATCATAGCTACCCCCAGGTACGTCGTTCATAACTTCCAGTGGTCGCTAAGGGACCAGTCGTAAGTCAAGGACTAGTTAGAAAAGGGCTATAGGACTCTGAATTTTTTTCTTCACAAGTGCAGAGATATTTAAACTGTGGTCTCCATGACCACTGAACTCTCCCTTTTCCAGGGATTCTGGTGCCCTCATGTAAGCTCTGTGTTAAAAAGAGTAGAGGCAAAGAAAAGCCACCTACGGTTGTGGGCAGAAGAATGCGGGTGCAGAAACGAATCCTGCTGCTGAGCTTTGGGTGAAAACAACTACTGGATCTTCATTTTATTTTTGGTGCAATCCCCAAAAGATCTTCCAGTCAGGGTGCTGGGCTGGATTTGTTGTACCAAGGTTGAATTCGGGAGGAGGTGATTATCTCCGCTCTCACCTGTGAATATTGCTTCCTGGAGCAGGACTCATTTGCCCTGGGTGGGATGGGGTGTGCTTTTTTCTTTTTTCCAGGTGTCTCAGTGCAGTGAGCTGGCCATGCCCAGAATTCCAGAGGTCTTCCTGGAAGCGGCCTCGGCTCTGGAGGAGGCTGCCAGGCACCAGGAAGCCATCATGGTGTGCGAAGAGGTGGTCTCCCGCGTAAGCAGGCTCATCCCGGCCAGGCTGCGCATTGTGCTGGACCTGAGTTCTGAAGAGAAGGCCATAGGGGCGGAGAGGTCCCCCTTGGCCAAATCTCCTGCTGCTGTCCTGGAAGGGCAGAGAGAGAGCCTGCGCTGTGTCCTTTGGCAAGCAGCTGCCCACTTGATCCAGGGCTGGGCAAGGGCCCAGCGGAGAGAAACCAAGGAAGCCATAAACAGCTTTAGCAGGTAACTGAAATCCGAGTGGATCCTGACCCAAGTCAGGATCACTGACTGGGCTTGTCTCTCCCTTCTGCACTGTTACAGCTGGGTATTGGCTACAGCAGTGGTGGCGAACCTATGGCACGTGTGCCAGAGGTGGCATTCAGAGCCCTCTCTGTGGGCACGCGCGCCATGCCCTGGAGATAGCAACCCTCTCTCTTCAAGCAGCCGCCCGCAACTTGCCGATGTCCCATGTGGCCGGATGCATCCCAGCACGGCTGGTTTCCTTCCCCCCGTCCCATTCCTCCTGGCCTCACATGCTCTCCTTTTCCCAGGCACGACCCACTGCATCGCCTCCTTAGCTATCAGCCGGCCGTTCAGCTCAGAGGCGGCTTCTCTGAACTGCTGGCGGCGGGCTGCAGAGCCCCAGAATGTGCCGGTCGAGGGGCCGGCAGGCTGTGGCTGCTGACAGACACTATCAGCCCCCATGCGCTCGCTGGCCTCTGTGTGCAGGGGCCGATGGTGTCAGGCAGCAGCTGCCCCAGCCCCTGCCTTGACTTGCCCTGCGACAATGACATCCCCACCCTGCCATGCCTCGCCTCACCCCTCAGGATGAGCCTCCTGCCCACTGCCCCACCTGCCAGAGACCCCCTGGATCTCCCCCAACCCTGCCCGGCCCCCACAGGTGTCCTTCCCCATGAGTAACATCCAGGTGACCACGCCCACCTTGGCCACACCCAGTCTGCCATGACCACTACAGTCACGCCCACCGGGTGGGCCACGCCCACCTGGCACCCGGCGATAAATAAGTGGGTTGCAGTTTGGGCACTCAATCTCTAAAAGGTTCGCCATCACTGGGCTAGAGGGGAGAGGCTGATGGGGTACAGCAACCTCATTTTGTGGAGTCAGGACCAGTCCCCCGAGGAGGAATAGAGCTGTATACGATATTTTGAATGTTCTCCACGTTTTGAATGTGATTTCCTCCATTTGATTCGACTTGCCCTGCTTGCGCTATTTGTGGCCGAGAGCCAGAGAAATAGTGAAGGTTTCCTTCCAACCTCTAGCCTCTTTGGGAACCGCTGAAAAGTAGAAACTGTTTCCAAAAGGAGAGGTAAGAAATCCATCCATCGTCTCACTGTAGCAAAAGAAAGCTCATAGCCCTCTTTCAAAGTAGCAGAATAGGGCTTTATCAGCAAAATAGGGTTTTCTGTCCCTATGTGGGGCTGGATTCTTCTGGCAGCACAGAAATAACGGCGCCTCAATCCTTCTCCAACAGGTGTCTTAATGATCTCCTGAGAGTCCATTTGGTCAGCACAGGTATGGACAGAGGTATTCATTGCCTGCTTCTGCCTCCTTCTTGACTTGGTTTTCTGGGTTCCAGCAGGCCCTTTCCAGGGGAAATGGTCTTCACCTGAATCACAGGATTGAAGGGATCAATCCATGCCATGAGCGAACATGCGTGCACATACACAAATACCACTCAGTGTAAGAGTCCAAATTTGGGTCCACCCAGTAATGGACAACCTTCCATTTCTGGTTCTATTACTGAACTGCTGTTAGGGTTTTCCCCACCACTGATTTGGAATTTGCCTTCTTGTCACTTAAATCCATCCTCTGTGTTGTGCACTCTGGGAAGACCAAGGAAATGTCTCGGCCTTCGTTTCTGATACTTTTTCATGTATAAATAATTCTTAGTTTATGGCAGCAATTGAGACCGGAATTGTCAGTGCGATGTCATGTGATCACACAGCTTAGCAATAGCCGTTCCAGTTACCATTGTTGAATGAGAACTTCACATGGTTGATTTCTGATTTCCTGTTGGCTTCCTCAAAGACTTTGTGGGAAGCCAGTTGGGAATGTCAGGAATCACAATCAACGTGTGACTATGCTTCACGGCAAAGTTGTATTCACAAACCGAGTGCCGAATCACAATCACATCAACATAGAAACACTGTGGCAGCTGGAACTCTGAGGACTGGTCATAATTACCAGTCCTAATTGTAAGTTTGAATAGTCATTGAACAGGTGGTTGTTAAATGAGGACCACCTGTCTTTGAAGGGTGTTGGCATGTCCCTTTTCTGTCTTGTCTTAATAATAATAATAATAATAATAAATAATAATAATAATAATAATAATAATAATAATAATAATTAGTAGTAGTAGTAGTAGTAGTAGTAGTAGTAGTAGTAGTAGTAGTTGGAAGGGACCTTGGAGGTCATCTAGTCCAATCCCCTGCTCAGGCAGGAAACCCTATACCATTTCAGACAAATGGCTGTCCAATCTCTTCTTAAAGACTACCAGTGTTGGAGCATTCACCGCTTCTGGAGGCAGGTTGTTCCACTGGTTAATTGTTCTAAAAGTCTTCTCAAAGTCAAGTGTGCCTATTTCCTTCAGTCTCTCTTCATGGGTTTATTTCAGCTCCCCTAAATTTGGTTGCCTTTCTCTGAATCTGTTCCAATTCTCTGGAACCTTCTTAAATATCATTTGGGTGTGGTACCCAAGATGGGGTGTGACCAAAGCAGAAATCAGTTCTCTCCCTTTCCCCTTTTGGGTGGCTGGCTTTGCCTTTGGGGTACCTGCCTCCCCAAATAATACTCCCAAACGTTTTTTAGGACAACCTTAAAACCCTTTTTATTCTGCAGTGGGTTTGGGTGCTGATAGCATTGGGCTGTATTAACTAGCTAGTTAGATTGTTGGTGGTTTTTAATTGCTGTATTTGTATTGTACAGTGCTGTAAACCCTAACCCTTTGGGAGCTGGCTGATCTATAAATAACTGTATAAATAAAAACAAGCAAACAAAAAACCCCTACAGCCACAGTTTTGCTACCTTTCTGGTTAAGAGAGGAAGAAGAAAGCTTTTCCATGGAGCCTCCAACCAAATTGCCGGAATTGGGTATGTCCAGTTTAACAAAGAGAAGGACGAGGGGGGACATGATAGCGGTTTTCCAATATCTCAGGGGCTGCCACAAAGAAGAGGGAGTCAAGCTATTTTCCAAAGCACCTGACGGCAGGACAAGACGCAACGGGTGGAAACTAATCAAGGAGAGAAGCAACCTAGAACTAAGGAGAAACTTCCTGACAGTTAGAACAATTAACCAGTGGAACAACCTGCCTCCAGAAGCGGTGAATGCTCCAACACTGGAAGTTTTTAAGAAGAGACTGGACAGCCATTTGTCTGAAATGGTATAAGGTTTCCTGTCTGAGCAGGGGGTTGGACTAGATGACCTCCAACTTTATTATTATTATTATTATTATTATTATTATTATTATTATTATTATTATTATTATTATTATTATTATTATTATTAATTATTTCCTTAAAATGTTTTTTAAAAATCCATTCATCTTCTTTGTACATATATAAAGTAGCAGAGAAATAGGTCACAAAGGAGGGAGTGATAAAAAAAACAATCCCTAGCTTATAAAGTTTGTGGAATCTTGTTCTAATCTGGTAACCTGGCCTTGAATTTTATTTCTCCATTCTGGGTATTAGCTATCCTCCCTAATTTTGTGTTAGCTGTAAATTTGTCGAACCTCTCCTCCTTCAGCTAAATTATTAAACTATTGAAGCCCAGAGGAGCCAGGAGTAGTTCCTCACCTGATGAGCTGCTCCTCTCCAATTTGATGAGCTATTGATGGACAGTCTTTCCCAAACAAAAAGTCAAGCTCCGTTAACGCCTGTGCAATCTACCCGAGAAGTGCACAACCAAAACTGACAACCCTGCTGGCTTCTGAAAATTACCACTTTGTTTTCATGATGGCTCTCTTTGGGATCTCCCCTGGATCATGTCAGACTGGCCTATCTGTAGGTCTTGCATTTTACACGTCACCATTATGACCCCGGGTGGCACGGAATCTAAAGCAAACAACTTAATTTCCTGAGTCTTCTCCTTATTTCAGTGAGGGATGTCAGTTCTTCAGGTTTGGCCATCAGCTGGTTCCTTCACACAAGCTGCAGGGTGCAATTTATCTAATGCTGAACTTCCTCAAAGGAAAAAAAGGGGGGTCTGCTAGGCAGTTGAGAGGTCTCTGCTTCCAGTGCTTTTCACTTGCGCAAGGAGTTCCTTTTTGCCAACTTTGCCCTGGCGTGGCTTTATTTGGCAGCTGGCTGTCCCTGTTCTGTCCCAGCCTGAGTCCTTGTTAAGCTCACAAGGAGAAACCCCTCTTCCAACAAGCAGGCTGGAACCGCAGGAAAAAAAACAATCCCCTTTTATTATTTACAGACCTGAGTAAATGTCCAAGGCAAACAAAACACAGTTCACAGAAACTAGATTCCTTAACACAAACGGTTGCCTTCAGCAACCAGCACCTCCCACACCTTCCCTTTTATTATGCAGCCAAGGCGTGGTTTCCTAATGCCTTCTCTGCCTTTGGAGCCGCCCCATTGCATTCCTCTGTCCGACTCTTTGCCTGCCTGCCGGCGTTTACGTGCATCCTGGATATCTTCCAGCTGTGAGTCATCACTGTTCAACTCAGACTCCCAGCACAGCTGTGTCTGAGCCGGAGCACGAGTAGAGGGGCCAGGCTCCTCGTCAGACTGTAAGTCTTGGAGCTCCTCAGAGCCTCCCTCTGACTCTGATGTCACTCCAGGCCCCTCCTCCTCCTCTGATTCCCCAGACTCAGCTGCCGGGTCCACTGGCTGGCGAGGAATCACAACAGTCCTTGAAAAATGGAAGAATTGGCCTTGTTTTGGTGGATCATAATTGGGGGGTGTTCATGGGCAAGGATTGTTGGCATTTTTTCTCTGCCAGGCAGCTGCAGAACTGAACCAGAAAGGGAGAAGACGGCCATACCAGAGGCAGAGCAGCTCCCCCAAATCAGACTCCTGGCCTTGATGGGAAGAGGGATCCAATTTCTGGAGCTGGGGAAGTTTAAAGAAGCCTTGATGGATTTCCAGTACAGCCTGCAGGTCTCTCCAGGTACCTTCAGCATGAAATTCCTGCTCTCAAAGGTTAGGGTCTGTTGAACTGGGCTGGCAAGGAGGATGTACTACACAAAAAAAAAGGCATTTCTGTGTGTGCCGGGCGGACTTGGCCAAGGCCACAGAATCTGGGTTCGTGACAGGGAAAGTGGCAAAGACCATGGACAAGGTAAGCATGAGGATGAGAGGAAGCTATTACCCAAGAGGTCGGTTGTGATCACATCTCTGAAAGACCAGGACCACAAATGAAGGTCCAGTTAAGCTGATTTATTCCCGTTTATGCCTATTGACAGGAATTGTCTTGGATCAACAGAATTCAAGGGTAGCCTGCTTATGGCCATGTAGGGATTCTAGGCTGATCCCTCTTTTCACTCCACCCCCAGGTTCTGCCATCCCTTCTCCTACAATCTCTTCTTTTTTTGTCCTACAGACAACCACACGTCTACCTTGTACTTATTACACACCCTCTGGAAACTTGACCGGAAGCAGGAGGTGGTTGCACACTGGCCTAAGCTCCCATCAGAATCTGGCCCGATGGAGGAAAACACAGGAAGGTGTGTGTCCTTTGGGTTTGTCCCTCTAAGTAAACTCAATCTATGAACCTATGAACCTATGAAGGTTCCTTCAGTCGTTCTCTTTCTCTCTCTCTCTCTCTCTCTCTCTCTCTCTCCTCACCTTAAGGGCATTCAGTTTGGGTCTAGTTCTGCTTCCTGGCTACAAATACGCAAAACAAACACTTCCTTTTTACTGGGGTTTTATGCTGCTGTGTCTGGTGACCCAGACAAGGAAAAAAACCTAAAACAAAAAGAATTTTATTTATTATTAGATTTATTTTTATTGTGCCTATGTATATATAGGCAACTCAGGGCAGCAAACATACATCCTACTCCTTCCTCCTATTTTCCCCACAGCAACAACCGTGTGAGGTAGTTGGGCTGAGAGAGAGGGTCTGGCCCAAAGTCACCCAGCTGCCTCTCATGCCCAAGGCAGACACTAAAACTCACCATCTCCCGGTTTCTAGGCCAGCTCCTTCCCCACTACACCAAACCCTTTCTGGAAATTCCCGGTGCTGCCTCCCCTGAGCTAAATTAGAATTTCTGTAGCTAAAGGTTGAACTGTTGGGTTCTTGACGTTGTTTGAGCTTGGTTGATTTCCTGCAGACATTTCGTGACCAGACTTGGTAACATCATCAGTGCAAGGCAGAGGAGGAATTTGCTGGCTGTTTATGTAGAGTAGCTTGCCCTGCCAGGTTGGGGGATGGTGTGGTGCCTTGATTAGGGTTTATTGCCTGTTTCCAGTCTTATCTGAGTGGCAGCTGTTGGAGGGCCTGCCTGCTGGGCTGTTGATTTTTTCCCAGCATCTTTTTAAATGGTATATAAACAAGGTTTATCCCTGGATCTCTGTCAAGGGGTGATGTGTTGGGAGGGCAAGCTTCGAGGAATTCCCTAGCATTGTTGAATCTGGCTTGATCTGAGATGGTAACAGTTTCCCAGTTGAAACTGTGGTTAAGCCTGCCTATGTGTTGTGAAATGAAGGCGTTTTTGTGAAGTTTTTTCTGGCTGCCAGCTGGTGCTTGCGTAATTCTGGGCATAAACAGCGGCAGAAGTGCAGCCTGCACCTGACTGGAAGAGCCATCCAATGAAGAGGGAACTTTCATCCCTCCTCTCCGGGCTTTAGATTTGTGGTTTGTGCAGCAGAAGGCTGGGGGGGTGGGGGTGGGAAGAGGGGTTAAGCTGAGCGTCCATCTTTGCTCATCGCAAAGCTCCTGCTAATTTCGTTCCTCCTCCCGCCCCTCCTTTTGTGTTCCAGATCTTTCCCACTGTACCTGGGATCCTGCATGAAACAGATGGAGTTTCCTCACAAGGAATCCTTTGCCAAGGACATAAAATGCTACCTTGGGGGAAATGGCCAAGCGCTTTAGTTTTGCGGTGGCTTCTCTGCCCTTGCCAGCCTTCGTCTCAGCTGCTTCTCTCCCTTTCGAAAGAGCTTCTCCGGAGTTTGTGGGAAGAAGACCGACACTTTTTTGTTTTGAGTTCTCAGGGGCAGGGGAGTGGGAGGGGGGTGACCTTTCTTAATGGCTCCCACATAAATATCTGCCAAGGAGCTCTGGCTCATGGAGCTGGGCTGGTATGACTCAGGAGGGCTTCACGCTCAATGGGAAGTGGAGAAGAGACCCAGGCACGGAGAACGCTTCAAAATGGAGGAGAATGGGTGACCCTCAATGGGCAGCAGTTCAGAGGAACAGTCTCGGTTTCCAGAGCTTCTGCATCCGTTTCCAGAGTCTGGATCAAGACCAGGAAGAACTTCAAATAGGCGTCCTGCTGGGGTGAGACCCATTGAAATGTAGACACCGAGCAAAATGAGTTGTTCTAAAGCAGGGGTCTCCAAACTTGGCAACTTTTTAAGAATTGTGGACTTCAACTCCCAGAATTCCCCAGCCAGCGCATGCTGGCTGGGGAATTCTGGGAGTTGAAGTCCACAATTCTTAAAAAGTTGCCAAATTTGGAGACCCCTGTTCTAAAGTAGCAGACAAAGCAAGACTTCGGGATGTACCACAAAGAAAGAAGATTCCTGAATATGGAAGTCCTCCTGAGATCTTTTGGTGAAGATTAAAAGGAGTTAAAAACCAAATTTGGGGACCTGACTGTAGCCCCCTTCATCCAGGCAGAGGATGCAGATGTTTCCTTTCTAAGTCACCTTTCAAGATCGTTCTAGTGGTAATAGGAACCTTCAGTTGCCCCAATATTTGCTGAAAAATTAAAAGAGTCAAATTCCCACAGATTTCTCCTCTCTCTTGAGAACTGAATGATGAATGGAATGTAAGTACTGTGCATTTACTCCTTACATGAAGCCAAGATCTACCTGACCAGTATTGTTCCCCCAGTCCCTCTCCCCCTATATAGGGAAACAAGAGTGAAGTCTTCCAAATTAGTGGTCTTCATAGGCTTCCATGTTTAACCCCTTATTACACTCATCCAAGTCAGTGGCCACCAGGTCAAAATGGGAACGATGTGTTTAGAAGTGCTTTTTTTGATTTGTCCTAGTTTTTTTTTTCAGATTCCCACCTGATTCCTTCTCCCTATCCCCTTTCCGTGTACAATACATGGTGTGTATTTTCACATTGATCACGTCTCCTCTTTTTTTTCTAAGCAGTGACTGGCAAACAGCAGATGGCAGCAACTAATTAATCTTGGAAAAGCTGAGGATTGTGCTTAGCTAATACTTCCATGAAAAATTGCCAGGAGTCCCAGGGTTACAGGGTAAACTGGGAAGTAGGGGGAAAAAAATGGGATGGCAAGAAAGGGCCAACAGCCAGGCCTACCTGGTGAAACAGAGGCCGGGGCGACGCACGTGAGCTGCAGCGAGCAGCCACAGAAGGCCCGGCGGTGGCCATGCAGGCTCCTCATCTGGAGGGGATGCTGTTTTAATGAATTTGTGTACTGGATTTGACAACAAGATTTCCTTAAGTTTTGTGATTCTGTAAATCGGGGGTCTTCAAACCTGGCCCTTTTGTGACTTGTGGACTTCAACTCCCAGAATTCCTCAGCCAGGCACACTAGCTGAGGAATTCTGGGAGATGAAGTCCACAAGTTATAAAAGGGCCAAGTTTGAAGACCCCTGCTGTAAATATTAGAAGGCGTTTCCTGGTAGCAAGAGCTGTTCCCCTTGAAAATTATAGTGGTATAACTTTCAGGTCAGTTCTGGAGGGCCACCTGATAGGGATTGCTTAGGATAGGGGTAGGCAACCTTGGCTCTTTTATGACTCGTGGACTTCAACTCCCAGAATTCCCGAGCCAGCCATGCTGAGGGAAAAAAGGTTTCCAAGCTGAGCCACGCTGGCTCAGGAATTCTGGGAGTTGAAGTCCACGACTCATAAAAAGAGCCAAGGTTGCCTACCCCTGGCTTAGGGGAGACTTTGCTGGAGATTTGAATTCAGAAGCAGCCCTTGTTAAAGGATCTGCTCCCCACTGTGCTAAAAGAATACCCAGTAAGTAGCAGTTTCCTGTCGGAAAAGAAGAGTGCTCCTTACAGATCGTGTTCAACTTGCAGCAGTTCATTTAGTGACCATTTAAAGTTACAACGGCACGTAACGATCATTTTTCATACTTACAACCCTTGCAGCATGCCCATGGTCACATGATCAAAATTAGGCCCTTTGGCAACCGGTTCATATTTATGACGGTTCCACCATCCCAGGGTCACGTGATCCCCTTCTGCGACCTTCCGACACGCAAAGTCAATGGGGAATCCAGATTCACTTAACAACCCTGTTATTAACCGGCTGCAGTGATTCACTTAACAATCGTGGCGAGCAAGATTGTACAATGGGGTAAATTCACTTAACAGCTGTCTTGCTTGGCGACAGAAAACATGGGCTCAATTATGGTCATAAGTTGAGGATTAGCCATATTTGTTCATTGAACAACAGTTGGTATTCTTTGTATGCCGCCCATCTCTCTCTGAAAAGCTGTGTTGGATACAAAAGCCCCCGTTCTCGGTGTTGGTGTTCATGGTATTCGAAGGAGAAAAGATGAAGAGATACCTCAGAGGCTAGTCAACCCCCAGTTCTGTCTCTGCTGCTCTTCAGAAGCCCAGAGATCCATTTAACCTACAGCAGGCCAGATGAGGGGCAGGGGCCGGGGAGACCCTTCCCCTCCTCTCTTTCTCACCACTTGCTGCCATGCTGATGAAGCTCATGGGGGCAAAGAGGTGGTGCAGCCACGCCCATTCTTTCACGGGTTGGCCAAAACCAGGCTTTTAGCTTTCATTTCGTGTAGTCTTGACTTTTGCTTGAGCAAAAGCCCCACAGAAAGGAGAGAATAGAAACTGAAAGGGTTCGGTTGTGATCTTGGCTGGTGAAATGATTTGCAGGGGAATTCCAGGCAGCGGGAAAGCCAGAGACTCTTAGAAGAAAAGCAGACATCCCCTCTCTTTGCCTGCATCCAGATGCTTCCTTTCTCCTCAATCCCTGTGACTTGGCATTTAAATTTGAGGCAACAGAGAGAATTTAGAACGTGGAGTCCAAACCTGGCAACTTTAAGACCTGTGGGCTTCAACTCTTCACCACCTATGCCGGCTGGAGAATTCTTGAGAATTGAAGTCCATGGGTCTTAAAGGTTGCCACTGTTGGACTACCCTGGTTAAAAAGACCCCTATAGGTCCCCCCTCAACAAACTGAAATGGTAAAAAAAAATCAAGCAATGTTTATTTAAAAAAAAAGCCCGAGATATACAGAAAAAAAACCTGAAGGACATAATTTGGAGGCTTCTTGTATTCCTAATGCATTTCATGGACTGGTGTGTAGCTTTCTCAGCTGCCAAATAATTATGGTGGAAATCAGTAGCCTGATGCAGAGGTGAAACAGAGCCCTTGCTTGGCAGCCACCCTGGAAAGAGCAAAACGAAGTGGGCAGCTTGAACCGGGCCCAGTGAAGGTGCTGCTTGGGGAATTGACATCCGCCCATCTTTAAATTGCTGAGGTTGAGAAACGCTGCAGTAGATCAAGCCCTCCATTCAATGGAAGGAAAACAGTATCCTAGATGAAGGGCAGCAAAGTTATTCTGGAATTGCATGTAGCAATTGGGGGGGACATGGGGATTGGCCTTAGTACAGGTAGCCCTTGACTTCATTTACTGACCGCTCGAAGTTGCAAAGGCATTGAAGAAAGTGACTCATGACCATTTTTCACACTTAACAACCACTGAAGCATTGTGATCAAAATGCACACGCTTGGTAACCAGCATTGTGACAGTTGCAGTGTTGCAGGGCCATGTGATGGCCATTTGTAACCTGACAAGCAAAGTCAATGGGGAAGCCAGATTCACTTAACAACTGCAGCGATTCACTTAACAACCATTGTAAAAAAAGTTAAAATGGGATAAAACTCAGTTAACAACTGACTTCCTTAACAACAGAAATTTTGGACTCCTTTGTGGTTATAAGTTGAGGAGCACCTGGACTTGCAAAATAGCAGGAAAAAATTCACTATAAGCACCCAGGAAAGAGGACTGACCAATTAATTCCCCCAAATCCAAGTTTGCTAGATTTTGTTGTATCAGCTCTCCTCTCTTTGCACAAAAACACTTTTGTTTTGTAAAAGAACATCATTCTTTATTGATGTTTATTATCCAGTCACATTTGGCCAATAAAGAATACTATTGTATTCTATTTTCTATTCTATATTCTATATCCTATATTCTATATTATTCATTCTATTCTATTCTATTCTATTCTATTCTATTCTATTCTATTCTATTCTATTCTATTCTATTCTTACTTTAATTAACCACCAAGAATTGTTGAACAAGGCAACAGGCCTACATTTGTTAAGGGAAAATAACAAGAATTTGGAATGGTCTCACAGGTCATCTAGTGCAGTGATGGCGAACCTTTTAGAGACCGAGTGCCCAAACTGCAACCCAAAACCCACTTATGTATCATCGGGTGCTGGGTGGGTGTGGCCCATTGGGTGGGCGTGGCTGCGGTGCTAACGGCAGACTGTGGGACTAAAAAGTTCAATCAATTCCAACTTGGCAGACTGTGTGGGACTAAAAAGTTCAATCAATTCCAACTTTGTGAGATCTTTTTTTTTTCCACGAGAAGTTTAAATTGATTGATTGAACCTTTTTTTATTGTTGCACACGGTGGAGGCCTAAAGCGAAAAGGTTTTATAAAACCCAGCTGAAGGCCTAGGACTGGGGCGACCGCACGCGCGCCCACAGAGAGGGCTCTGTGTGCCACCTGTGGCACGCGTGCCATAGGTTCGCCACCATGGATCTAGCGTTTCCCGGCTAAATGTTGCACAGGGACTCAAGAGTGATACAGAAACAAAGGTAGCCTGAATGTTGCTCTTTCTGGAGAATGCAAACAGGCAGAATAATAAGTTCACTGAATTACCTTAATACAAGAAGCAAATTTGGGAGCAAAACTACAGCTCAGTTGAGCCTCTTTCCCAATAAGAATGGAGTTCATCAAACTGCCTCCCTTTCCATATTTTGCTGTCTTATTCATCACTATTATTAGTGTCCAGATAGAGATGCTGAATTAAAAGGATTTTTTTTTCTGTGCAAGCATTGTTAAGTAAAAGCCAGAATGTTTCCTTTTGGGGTGGACTCAATGGGAGCTTTCAAAAGCCACATATCAGCCTTTATACTGTGCAAAATCAGAAAATACTTTCATTATTAGTCAGGCTAAGTATGTGATGTGAACACAGCCAGACTTTAGTCACATGTCTGGTGATTTCACCTTCACCTATAGGAGCAATTATTTTTTCCCCAGGCAGAAATCCTGGAGGAATTGGCAGTTGTTTCACAAATGACACTCAGAAATGTTGATTGGTAGGTGGAGTGA